AATTGTCACTTAACCTATTTTTAGGACATTTTTTTATAATAATATAATTTGAATTTTTTTATTTAATTTCACTTTATATAAAAAAAAATATAATTACTATTTATATAATATAAAAAAATACCCACAACTACGTGCAATAACGGCTATAAATTCTGTAGGAAGTATAATACGCCCAACTCAATGAAGACCGCATCCGGCCCTTATACATCAGTGTGTTGGTGGAATTAATATCTTAATTAGTACTAAAATAAAAATCGTAATAATATTATATAAATATCCCTTATTCCTATCTCTAAATTGTAATCATTCAAAAATTAAAAAAAAAAAAAGTTTTCGAAGAAGGCCATTTATCTACCCCATAAGTAATACATTAATTTTGAGAGACCACCACGTGTTCCACTTTTAAAGCAGAAATGATCATACATTCTAAACTCTAAAGTGCTGCTGCCACGAGTAAAATGATCGATAAGTCGCTCCTTCCTTCCTTCCTTCCTTTTATTTATTTATTTATTTATTTATTTATTATTATTATTATTATTATTATTTTGCAGAATCGGTCTTGTTGCTGGTGGAGTTTGCTCACACAGAGGCCCAAACTTATTTACGTGAATTGCGGAATTCATCAAATCAAATTCCTAAAGAGCTAACTACCTTGGGCGATCTGTTCGATCATGACACGGTAGTTGTACTTGGAAATGCTAAGCGACGTCGCAACGACATCATGGTGTACTCATGGCTTAAGGGAATGAAGGAAGTGCTTCTTGATATTAATTCTATACTTACGGAGATAAAGAATGCCAATATATTCGGGCAAAGTGCAGAAGAGCAATCCGGTGCCAACAAGCCATGGAAACTCATCCTTAATTTGGTTAACAAGATTTCAAGGTTCATGCATTATTATCGAAAAAAAAGGATGGTTTTCAAAGTGAAGTATATAACTGTTGCATTAGAAGAAATTCTTGATGAAGGAAGGCAGTTATTAGAAGAAATTCATCGTGAAAGAACGCAGCCTGGCATCCTATACACATTAATTACGACTGGTAACATTCTACCTCTCTTTGAATTTGCTATTTTTCTACGTTTCTTTCTTAAAGCATTTACATCGGGAAGGACTCATCATGTTACATCATCCCAATTCATATTATTCTTTTTATTCATTTAATTTGATTTTT